ACTTGGAAGGCTTTCCACAAGATTTTTGAGGGTGTCTGTGGGAACTTGTGCCAATTTGTGAGGTCGTGTGAGACGAGATCTGGCTCACAATTGGCGTTCAAGTCATCCAAGAGAGGTCTTCAGGAGGGTTGAGATCAGGACTCTTGAAGGCCACTTGAGTCCTCCACATACCGGACTCATACTGGGTGTCTATGAAGTGGAGGCGACGCCAGGATCATTGAGTCCTCCACAAGTTGTATGGCTACATGTATGTGGACTCCTGACCATCACGCCTATCTGAGCTTGTTGAACATCTGATTCCAAAACCATAGGTTTCCCCATCACTTCCCCATTGAGGCGATAACATTCTTCTGGGAAGGCGTCCACAAGGTTTAGGAGTGTGGATTTGTTCCATTTATTAGGTCAGGTACTGATGTTGGATGAGAAGACTCGGCTCCCAATTCACCCCAAAGGTGTCCAGTAAGGTGGAGGTCGGGGCTCTGTGCGGGACATTGGAGTTCCTCCACATAGAGGCCACAAGTCAGAGTCCAGTAAGGGGCGGTGACACCAGTACAATTATGTGATTCCACTCTACCAGGAAGACTTTCCACCAGACTTTGGAGGGTGTCTGGGGCAATGTGTCCCATCTGTGAGGTCAGGTACTGACGTTGGATGAGAAGACCCCTCCCCAATTCATCCCAGAGGTGTTCTGTAGGGTTGAGGTCAGGGCCCTGTGAAGGACATTCGAGTTCCTCAGCATTGGTCACACCGTGTCTTTCTGGCTTCGTACACGGGGGGCAGTCATGGTGGTGGTGGGACAGAAATGGCCTTTAGGAGGGGGGTGCACATACTTCTGCCCATTTGCGATTTCAGGGTGATAAGACCTGGTTCACAAATGGTGTTCCAAATCATCTCAAAGGTGTTCAATAGGGTTGAGGTCAGGGCCCCCCCCCCATCCCCCCCAACCAGCTGGTCACACCATGTCTCTAAGGAGCTGGCTTTGTACACGGGGGGGGACGACATTCATGGGGGGGACAGAAAAGCCTCCGAATGCGAGGTACCACGAGGAACAACTGCACCCTCCTGATTATCTCACATGCTGAAACCGCTTCAAGCTTCTTGGCCTGGGGAACAGGCCCGGAACCTTGACTCGTCCTGGGCATAGCTGGGTCAATGCTGCCAGAGCAGCCTTGTAGAGGAAGTACTCTGCAGACTGCTCCGGGACTACAAGGCCTGGGCTGCCTATAGCCAGGAGTGCCCGGGCCCGGTACAGGAGTACTGCCTATAACCCCCTATTGGCGGGTGTGCTACTTCATGTGGTGCTCTCTGGTCTTACCGCATTAACACGGGATCACTGAAGATGGCCATACAAGCTGCGGGGTGGAAGGTTGAAGAGTTCACAGGAAGTTGCAATAAAGCCCCGTGCCCCTTCAGTCGTGTGGCCTCACGTGACCCACGCAGTTTAGGAAAGGGACCGCCTACAGTCAACGGGATGCCTGAGGCCCAAATCAGGTTTCGGTTTAAATCCGCTAAACGC